CTGGCACAGCTGTCCTTGAAGAAGAGCAGTTTGTGTCAGAGTTCTCTCAGCCCCACCCACCTCACAGGGTGACTGTTGTGGGGAGGGGAAGGGAAAGGAGTTTGTAAGCCGCTCTGAGACTCCAAGTGAAGGGCGGGGTATAAATCCAATCTCTTCTTCTTCTATCTAGTTGACCCAAAGCCCCCAGTCCTTTGCAAGGTTCTGAGACAGATGCCCAGTGGTCTCTCCCCAAATAGTGATGTGAAACAGGCTCTCCACAGTAGAACTTTTAAAAACCACATCTGATTTTCCCCTCATCGGAAGTAGCAGGATTGGAGCCCTCACTAGCCTCCTCCCTCGCACGGCAGTCTCTGTGAGGGAGGAGGCCATGGCTAAATGAGGCCATGGCTGAATGGCAGCGTTCGTCTTCCAGCAGCAGACCACACCCAGAGTGCCAGCCCTGTCTGCTTCCCATGAATTCCAGACCCCCAATTTGGGAATCTAGGAAATAACAGTTTAAATTAATTGTCTCTAACATTATGCATGCCAAGAATGTTGCACAAGCAGAAACATCTTTCAGCTGTTTGTGAATGCCTTCTTTCAGCTTTCTAAACGACAGCCACTACTAACAATGCTAAATCTTCAGCCACTGTTCCTCGCTTTCAGTGCCATAAGGAGCAAGTAAGGGTGTGGCCATGTGATAGAACGCATGCAAAAGGTTCCACCTCTGGCATCACCCATTTAAAGGTCTCAGCTAGTAAGTGTTGGCAAAGATCTTCCGTTATCAGTCAGAGGAGGCAATGCTGAACTGAAGAATAGACCAATGCTATGTCCCCTCCACTCTGACAGAACCCCTGGGACTATAGCTGGAGAAGAAGGAAGCGTGGTGTTCTCAAGAACATTCCATGCTCTTCCCCTCAATATTCAACTTTAATTTGAAGGGAAAGAGTGTGCCTCTAGCCCTTTTGACTTAAATACAAAGCAAAATGTGCAGGCAGCATTATGTTCAGATGCTCAGAAAGACCTGAGATAACCTGTCTCTTCTAGTCAATGAATGCAAGGAAACAGTCAATATTTGACACGCATGAGGGCACTTATTTTAGTAACACTGGTGTATAATTACAAAAAGAAAACTAAACACATTTAACTTAGGCTGCTTGTATTTTATTGTTTTGCCCTGACCTGGATGATGCAGGCTGGTCTGATCTCAGAAACTAAGCAGGGGTAGCCCTTGTTAGTATTTGGATGGGAGACCACCAAGGAATTTCAGGATCACTATGCAGTCCGGCAATGGCAGACCGCCTGTCTAGTCTCTTGCCTTGAAAACCCTACAGGATCACCTTGCTGTAAGTCAGCTGTGACTCGATTACAGTTTACACACACACTTTATTGTTTTGCACTGACCCATGCAAATTACCTTCAGGACTGGCCAAAGGGATTTCAGCACCTGAGATGGACAGTTCCAACAGCACCCAACATAGGGCAGAACGCTCAGGGCAGTTCTTTTGCACAGTGCGCCCCCCACTCGTTGTAACACAGAGAACTTCCCTGTAGATTGTAACCTCCATTCAGACTTCAAGTTCTGCAGCTCTAATGACCTTCCCAGCCAAGGATCTGGCAAGATCATAACACTGCAAGAGGATTGATTGGCCTGTTCTGGAGGTTGCCCATGATCTATAAAAGAGCTGTTAGAGCAGCACTTGATTGCTCTTTAGAGAGTCTTTTCTCAGCCAAAGTCATACTCTCTCACATTTTACAAAAAAAGAATATTTTTAAAAAACTGTTTTCCCCACCAAGGCTGCAAGAGCACTACCTGAAAGTAACCCTCCTCCACTACGCATCTGAAGACTCATCGCTGCCTGCTGCGATCCATGCTCATGTTCCTTTTTTTTCTGCAGCAGCCTGTCCTGTACAAGTTTAAAAGTATGTGTATGTGATCTTTTGCTTGAAGATGGTTTTCCCCCCCTGCATATGGACTACAGCCATACTGTGGGAAGGGGAAGGAGGCTGACAAGTTGAAGAATGGTAGATCCATTAGCTTGCACTCACACAACCACCTGAAAAGGCAAAAGAGGGGCAAGCAACACTGGGGACAGATGTACGAGGTTTGCTACATGAAGCGTGTGCGGGGGGAAAAGGCTAGGCAAGGAGCAGAGTGCCAACTCCCCTCCTCCCAACCCCACCGCAGCATTGACATGTAGGGACCATTCCTGGGTTCTGCCTGAGGGGCTGGTCTGGCACCTCTTCTCCAAACTTCACTTTGCATGTGCAAGGCACTCTTAATATATGCTGTTATAAGCAAGCGCCTCTCCCAGGAAGCATGTTGGTACATAGACAGCTGTTCCAGGTTTTTATCTTTAGCCATCTTACATTTCTGTAGTTGTAGGCTTGGATCCAAAGGCCCAACCAACAAGCAATCATCCAGGCCCTGGGGGGTTGAGAGGAAACCCTCCGACTCCGCACCTGCTGGTCTCGCTCACTGACACCGTCTTAACACTGGAGGCCAAAATAAAGTATCGAAATCAAATTATCAAAATGTTTTGCATGAACGCCAGCCCATGATGAAGCTAAACATTGTTTATTGAAGGGGTTGTTGGTGGTAATCTGAAATATTGTGCAAAGGGATGGAGCAAGGGTGTAACAAAAGAAGAATACAAATTCACCTGTCCGAATTTAAGCCACAGAACCAGCTCGTGGAAGCTTAAATACGCTGGCCTGCAGGGTCTTCACAGGAAGAGGAAGGAGGACCAAAATCCAAGAGCACTACGTTGAGCAGAAAGGCTGCAGCATAGATCCTGTTCCAGAATTACCAAACAGCTGCATATGTTAAAAGTATTTGCTGGGGTAAATACACTGATGGACAACTTTGTTAATGTTATCAATGCAAGTCAAACAGCTAAAAATTCTGTCATCGGAACACTTCTGTTCTCTGCTTCAGTCTTCCCTAGAAGGGTAGCCCACCTTTCTAAGTTTCCAGAGTCACTGAACTGTGTGGAAAACAGAATGCTGGACAAGCTGGATTAAAGGTAGATCTTATCCTCTTAAGCACCATACATTCGATTACTCATATTGTCCCATTCCATATATGTGTGAGGAGTGCCCAGTACAGATGTTCCCCAGGAAGCTGAGTCCGTTTCATGCTTTGCTTGCAGAAGGCTACAGGCTCAATCACTGGCACCTCCAGTTTATTACATTTTTTAAAAATCCCACCTGTCCAGGCAGCCCAGGATTATATGCACGGCTCTCCCTTTTCATCAACAACCCTGTGAGAGCTAGGTTATGCTGACTGGTCTGAGTCCACCCATTGTGTTTCATGGCAAGCAGAGATTTGGTCCTTGCTTTCCCCAAACCCTAACCCCTACAGCACACTGGTTCTGAGGTTCTATCAGGGAGAGCTGCTATGAGTCAGAGCTGACAGCACTAGATGAATCAAAAACATGGCATGCCTGAATTTGCTACCTTCAATAGGTGAACCAGATACTGGCCCAGGGGAAAGAGCAGGCTTTGCATGCAGAATGTCCCAGTTAAAGGGATGCTGGGGAAGGTCCTTGGAGAGCTACTGCCCATCAAAGCAAATTGGGCAGACCCCCAGTCTGACGTGGTATAAAGCAGCCGCACATGTCTGAGCCATCCCGGAAGACCTGTAAGCAATTACGATGTGAAAAATGAACTATTGGCTGAGGGAAAAGTAGCAGGGGGTGTGGGGAGGGAAACCTGCAGCCAGAGAACCACAACAGGGCGGATGGAAAGAAATGCGGTTACATGACAGGCTTGGGAAAGACAACTGGAATCAATTGCCATGCCTTCAGAAACAAAAGGATTCTGGGTGGGTTTGGATAAACTCAGGCAGCTGTCTTCCTCGGCAGCTCCCTCCCACTGGGACTCATTCCATACCTCCTTGGGGACTACACAGCCTTGTGCACGTCAGCAGCGTTTGTTCACGGCAGCTCAAGCGGTGACTGCAGTCTCCACTGATGTTCTCCCCTCTCCTCTCAACACACCCACAGCTCTTCCCTTCCCATAGCCATTTATGTATTTATTAGTCTTACCTGGTCCCCATATAAGGATGCACAGTGTCGGAGACTGCCCCGCTACAACAGCCACCCCATGGAACCAAAGATATCATCACTGATTTTGCAGACAAAACTAAGGGCAGAGAAAGAACAGCCCAGCCCCAAATGAAAAGCAGCACAGCCTGGTACCACTGATTTCATCTCTACCCTAAGGCACTGCTGCTAGGGCAAACAAAAAAAAAACACGACAGTAACTCCTCTAGTAAAGAGAGGGACAGAAGGGAGCTCTCCAGCTATAGCTATATAGATAACAGAGGTGCACAGAGGCTTTGGTCCCTTGAAAATAAAGGCTATTGTGTGAAATGAGATAAGGTAAAGGTAAAGGTTCCCTTGCTTGAAAGCCAGTCGAATCCGACTCTAGGGTTGCGGTGCTCATCTCCGTTTCAAAGCCGAAGAGCCAGCGCTGTCCGAAGACGTTTCCGTGGTCATGTGGCCGGCATGACTAAACACCAAGGCGCACGGAACGCTGTTACCTTCCCACCGAAGTGGTAACTATTTATCTACTTGCAATTTCTTGCTTTCGAACTGCTAGGTTGGCAGGAGCTGGAACTAGAGACGGGAGCTCACTCCGTCTTGTGGCACTTGGGTCTCGAACTGCTGAACTACTGACCTTCCACAGCCTGCAGTTCAGCGTCTTAACCACTTGAGCCACCGCAGCTCCTGAAATGAGATAAACTAATAGTTTATTCCTGATGAGAGGCTCACTCAGATTTTTATCAGGAACACTTCTCATGTTGCTTTGTTGAACCTGTTCCTCTGTACACAATAAGCAAGCAAGGCTGCACTGGAGAGGAGGACAAAGAAACAGGAATGACTTTCATTACTAAAATTACATGGAGTACAGTTTGTTTAACCTAAAGTTGAAATACAGGCTTGCTTAAATGACCAGGTAATCTGCAGTACACTGATCTCAAGTAATTTACATATTCCAATTTGGACACTCTACATTGTTTTATTGTTTTTTATTGTTGCTTTCACACTAAATGAATTTCCAAAACCATGGGGGGGAAAGAAGCACAAATTGCAGATTCTAGCACATGACCACAAGCTACGCCCAAACCCTTGGGGCTCATGCATCATTCATTTCAATCTAATGTTTTGTTTTTTTAAAAAAATGCCAGGATCCAAAAAACCATGAAACTGGTTCCAAAAACTCCAAGATGTATACCTTTAAACAGCAATACTCTCCAGGTATCACAGCAAACTGCTTTCTAATGGAGGAGCTGCAAAAGGTGGGCTGACAAGTTATGGTATGATCCAGAAACCTGGCTTCTTCCCTCTCTTTTATCAGGCTGTTCCAAAATAATCCTGATCAATACAAAAGGAGATAGCGCACACATCTTGCTCAGGACAATGAATGCTTTTGCTACTCTGGTTAAGAAAAATTACTTGGTATGAGAAAGTTAACTGAAATGTTTCATCTGACAGGTAAAATTCTTTGAACGCCAGCAAGACCCTCCAAAAGTGAAATACTGCAGAATTAGATCAAACCCAGGTAAGGCCTCAGCTACAAAGGGTAACTGGAGAACCACTGGGAATAATATTAAGGTAGGGACAATTCTGGCAGCACTTTGAGTATAGTATGAGCCATTCAGCTTTACATATACTGGTTCACATTGCACAGCTACTAAATGGGCAAGATCAATTTTCTCTAGGCCCAGGGTCTACCAGATACAAGATTAAGGTCCATAGTCCAGTCTGAGTGGGAACTCCATGCTGATACTACTCAAGAGTTGCACCAATATGACAGCTTCTTGCCATAAGGGTACTACTTCTTTCTGCCTCCTCTTTCTTTGAGTGCTAAATGAATCACAGATCCACTTGTCATGTTGTAGTAAGCCAGAGAATTGGAGTCCTTGATGAAAATGCCCTGCAAGAAACAACAAGAGGGTCGTGATAGTACCCAAAACAAAACTTAGCAAGGGAGAGACAAGGGAGAATCCACTGCTTCACATAAGGACTTTGCTCTAGGAGAAAAGCTGACCCCCCTTCTGTCATATCCAGGCATGGAAGGTCAAAGGAGGAATTTCTATGCAACCTTAAACAAGCCATTGAAGATGGTTCCATATGCAGGTAATGGTTAAGTAATGGAAGAATGCTTCCATAGGGGAAGAGTTCTGTGAGTTAGTCAAGCGCACTCTAATGTTTATGCAAACAAATGAAATTCACCGACAAGTAGCAAAACAGCAGTGACCAAATACTCACCTCATACTGAAGTTTCTGTTTCCCAGCAGGCATCCCAGTAGCCTCGTGAATCTTCACCTTTATAACAGAAACCTAGAAACCAGAAAAATACACCCCTTTCAACACAGTGCACTGAACACGTGACAGATGGCAGCATACACTAGCAATGTTTAGTATGGTATCATGAGACATAAAAGAGTTGAGGCTTTTATCAGTGCCCTGGCAGCAGGGACCACAGACCACTGAGGACTAACGCAAGCAGTCCAATTCTGTTTCCATTACAGCACCGGAATTCCCTCAGCTCAGAGTGCAAATGGCTTAGTCCAGCAATACTACAACACTGGAAGCCAGCAAACAGTTCCAATCGTATACTCTGCTGGCATGCAGTTTAGGGCAGGGACAGGAAACGTGGCCCATTAGCCACACCCCAGCCTTTCACCTGGAACAGATGTGCAGCAGAGTTTTCAAGAGGCACTACTAAACATCTGCTCAGCCTTCATTCACAAGGAAAATGTTTTCAAGATGTATGAGGAAGAGATGACCCATACAACTTGCTGATTTTATACACTAGATGCAAACTGACACATATGTTAATACTATGCCTGAGTGCACCCACTCCAAGTAAAGATGCTTTTACTGGCAAACTGTGCCTGCTTCCTTATGGTCACTCAAGATGGGAGTCTGTGCAACAACAACAAACATGGCTGGTCTCCAGATAACTTGTCTGAGGACCAGATGGGTACCTGAGAATATAGAAGTTGCCCATCCCTTATTTAAGGAAAGCCATGGGCCACGTACCTGGTCAGAGAGCGGGAGGGTGAACACCAGCACCTGGCCATTCAGCTTCCATTCAGTCTTGTCCTGCATGTTGGGAACTTGGACTTTGACTGTGACTGGACCCTAACAGAATAAATGCGATAGTATTGTCAGACAAAATTCAGAGAGGGAGCCAGAGAGAGAAGAAAAGAGAACAGATAACAATGCTGTAACAGCCCTTTGCTTCTTCATGGAGGAACGTTATTGATGTGGCTCCATCAATTACATTACCCTACAAATTCATAACTGCTCCATTCTTTGGTATGGTACCAAGACTGTTCAGCTGAACAGCTCCTTGCTGGCGGGGGTGTGTGTGTGTATAATGTACAAATCACAGGAAAAGTGGGTCTTTTTCAATTCAGCCACTGAGGCTACAACCTGGATGCTGAAAGAACTCTGTTAATCAAACATGTACAGTTGCATTTTTCACGACTGAATTACTGAAAGATCTGTTGATGGTATAACAGAGCTGTCTCTCTCTGCCGTACAAGGGACACAGGAAGAGGTGGGCCCCAAAGGGATATGCTGGAAACAGATAAACGTTTTTACCATTTGCTTTCCCAGTCTGCTTCCCCTTGCATTTCCAGATAGTATTGTAATTAAAAAGCTCATTACGCCGCATGTTCAAATGGAAATGTTGATCTGAACCTGAATGGAAAGGGTTGCCCAGCCCAACCCCCTTGGAACCCAAAAGGCACACTTGGAAGATCCTCCTAGGGCCTAACCTAAAAGCAGTGATATTACTTTAAGTTATTAGCAGCACACCTTGTTTCTGCGTAGGAACTCCTCCTCTGGCATGAGGCTGTCTTCAGACTTCAGCTTCTTAGAGGATGGCTCATCATCCATGGGTGGGGGAGGGTGAACAGGAGGCATAGGTGCTGGGGAAGCAACCGGTGCAACCGGAGGGGCAGGAACAAATGCTGAAGTAATGGAGAAAGGATTTATTTCACACAAGATCGTTAGCAGCCTTTTTTGGGAGCACTGACTGGCACAACCCAAAGCAGCAGTGTCAAATGTAGAAGATGCCAGAGAGCATGCTATCTACATTTCCCAGAGGTCTGGGAGGAAAGAAAGCACCCCAAATGCCAACCAAAGGCAGACCAGTTACACAGCACTCACTTTAAGAAATGCTAGAACTGTATATAGGGGCTGTGAGCTCCCTTTGCCCTAAGAGCTGCATGCCTCCTAATTGCACTAAGGGGCATTTGCATTTGTGAACAAAGTAGTAGAAGACTTACCAAACACTAAAGAATACAGAGTACAGAGCAAGCAAGTCAGTGTAGCAACAGTGGACAGAATACAGGATGTGAACTGGGGAGACCTGGCCAAGTATCTGCATTTTCTTTTTATCTAACCTAAGCTGCTGCAAGAAATAACATGACATCATGTATGGTGTCAAACTTTTATATCTGGCCCTTCCTCCAAGGAACTCAATGCAGAAGTAGCAGCCTTAAAAGGGCTATTTTCTCCCAAAGATAAACAGCAGCAACCACATGTAACTACTACAGAGGGACTCCAGATGTTGCTGTGCAGGAAGAATAAGAAACCTGGCCAGGACACGGAGAAATGAAGCTCTCTTTTACGGACTTACATTTGACACTCCTGCCCTTAAGGAAACAAAGACAGACACAAGAAAGGAAAGACATCAGTGGTAACTCCAAGGCAAAAAGCAGTTGACCTACAAACATATGGAAGTTGCATCTATCTCAGAGCCAAGCACTGCATCCATTGAGCACAAATGATGGTTAGACTTTGAATTGACAAAGTAGGAGCCACAGGAAGTTGCTCTGTGGCAATCATGTGAAGGTTATGCATGTGAAAAAAATTTAATGTGTCTCAATCCTAGTTATGCCTCTGCCATACCAAAGTAGGCTAAAGTGGACTCCTAGGCTTCCTCCATTTGTATAGTTACTCTTAGGAAGAGTTAACACTATTAACACAATTTCTGTGCTCATACTATACTATATAGACTCCCCTAATGACCACACTAAAGGGCAATGTGACAGTAAATGTATCCACCCTTGAGAGGAAGCTGCAGCCAATCCTGATTCTCATGACCAGACCTGGGCAGGCATGTGTTGGTCGCATTCACACATTATGCTTTTAAATACATACTTAAAAACCACAGAGTGTGAGCCCACCGTTATTCTCGATATCCTGGACTTCAAATGCTTGGTTCAGAGACTGTACAATATTAAAGTATCAACACCCAACTCCACTGTCCATTTTTTGGCTTGGAATTACTGGGGTTTTAGTATTGGAAAAAGAGCATTAGAATAATTTTGGACAAGAGCACCGCCCTGTGACAGCTAGTGGCCTGAGCCAGCACAGTAGCAACCTTGAACTACTTATCTGACAGTTGGCGGACAGATCAATTTGTACACACAAAGCAGCCAGACCTCCCTGGCTAGATAAGCTGGGCTTCCAGCGGCATATCGACTGCTGTGGTGCAATGCAGCTGAAAAGCATACCAACGGATTTAGCACTTGGCAAGGGTGCTTCCTGTATTCCTGCCTCGGTTTCTCTCGCAACAAGAACAGTACCTGGAGCACCAGTACCCAAGCTAGCATGCAGCCCACGAAACCTTTTCAAGAGCAGTGACACTCAGGCCAAGAAGTCTACAAGAACAAAACTACTGACACACAGACGCACACCACGGCCAGGATCCCCCTTGTACCACTCTGGACAGACAAGAGAAGTGAATGCATGCAAATTAGCTTGGCTTGAAGGTGAGTGATTAGCTGAATTACCTCTGAGAGGTCACAATGACACTTAAGAAGTTACCTGGACTGCTGACTGGTCCCTGTCTGTATCCTATATTGTGACAATTAGATACAATAGTTAGTCAATGGCTTCACTCAGCTGCAACCTATGATATTCACAGAAAGTCTATTTGGATCTCAAGTTTAAACTGAAGCTATACGGGACAGGCCTAGGTCATCACCTGGCCCCCTGCATGATACTACAGGGCATGCTATAACACAGCATAACCTCACCTTGAGTGCAAAGCTAGTCTAGCCCCCAAATGCCCATACATATTTAAAAGCAACTCTGGTATATACACTTCTGGTTTTTAATTTTGTAGACACAATCTATAACACATACTAGCCTCAACAAGGCTTTCCATGCTGGGAAAGCATACTAGAGAAGTAATGAACAATGCCAGATATACTATACTCTTCTGGCTGATTTGGAATGTTAAGTTTCTAGAGTACTCAACAAGGGGCAGGTAATTTGGAAGTGCTATAAATCACCCACATTTTTGCCTCTTTTGCGCAACTGCAGGACACCTCTGGGGAAATTAGCTTTATAGGGAACATGGTACTGGGCAAAGGAAGAAACTGAATTTGTATCAAGCATCTGTGGAACAGGAGTTATGTGGAGAAGAGGGTCAAGGAGGATTAAGAGTGAGTTACCAATCGCTATGTGGCAAGAGAAAGTCTGGGATCAGTTTATAATGGCAAAAATTACGGACTCCCTGAAGGGAGCGGTTAACAGCGATACTCCTACTTACACCAAATTTGTTAGGATCTGGGCCCCAGTGTTAGACTATATGGTAACGAATTATATACTCCCAGCTAAGCAAATTTACCATAAATTGTTATATTTATAGAGTTTAGCAGGTATTAAAGCTGTATGGTGTGTGGATAGTTGTCAAATGGTTAGTAATGATCTTAGTTGCTATATGTAGAAATCTAGAACCAATATGTGTCATATGTATTGTATTTTACAAAACAATAAAAAGATTTTTTTTAAAAAGAGTGAGTTACCAGATGTCTGACCCTCCATTGAATTGGAATAAAATGGAGCAATTCTGTCTCTGCTCACTGTATAGTCCCTCCTCTTCAGACATTTGTAGAAAAAAGGCCACCTATATAAATACTGTTGCCAGGACGAACTTCAGAGTGAAGCAAGCTACAGTTTGGGGGGTTTTTTAAAGTGGCGGCCTGATCCATCACATATTGCAGAAGCAGAACTAAACGCCATTACAACCAAGCAGAGTTACCAGTTTGACGTTTAAACTGCCCTGGGGACTCTATTTTGGTGGAAAGACAGCATGGAAATGTTCATGATAAATAAGTAATTTGTTCAGCAAATAATGACGGCTAAATCTGAAGTTAAGCTAAGCAAAACAATCACATAGACTTTCAGGACTTATGTTTCTAAAGTAGCCAAAAATAGTCCTCATAAAACTTGCGAACTTGAAAACTGGCATTAAAATGTGGTATCTCTTAGCACAACACATGGAATAGGCTGCCAAACTGCTGTGAAGAATGCGCCACTGCAAGTGAATTCTGACCAACCAATGGCGATCACCAGGCCCCCAGGCTTTGCTGCAAGTGAGCAAGAACTTTCCAGTTATAGAATGCTAAAAGCACACTAGCCCTGTTCACAAGTTACAGTGAATGCACGTACAAACCATGTACAGTCTACACTTCCTTGTTCTTTGTATGTGTCTTTGACTAATTCTCACATTACAGTCAATGCATGTACAGCTGAATGTGTTATATAAATTCCACATTTATCCAGGTACTGGTCCTTGGTTTCATCTGTAAAGTGAATGCACATTGGCTCTTTCATACAAAGAGATGTACACGCAACAGGCAGGATGTACGTGCACTTGCTGTAATGTGTAAATAAGGCTACTATTAAAAGAGAGAGATTCTCAACACTTACCTGTTGGCACGATCATGGGAGGAGGACGCGGAGCCATAATGGGCGGGGCAGACGGCGGCATTGGGACAACATTGATCCGAGGAGCATGTATTATTGGTGGCATGGGAGCAGCAATGACAGAGCCTGGTGGTAAACGGACCACTGACGTCATAGGGGGACGAGGCATGACGGGAACAGCACTGACGACAGTTGTGCGGACAGGAGGTGGCATCTAGAAGACATAATATTTGGGTTGTAAAAGAACCTGGGGAAAAAAATATATATTTTTTTTTTGGGGGGGGGGGAGAAACCAGACTTTCCCATTAAAGCACAAAAGCTATACAAGTAAACAGCATACGGAAGGAGGACGGGGTACTGATGCAATTGGTGGAGCATTTGTTGGGATGTTCGGAGCGGATGAAGGCGGTGGAGGCTGGGGCATCTCGTTGGGTTTGCTTGGACCAATCTTCTCCTTGCTGTCATCTTCAGGCACCAGCCCCTTGGCCTTATGGATCGCTTCAATCTGCTCTTGCAGGGTAATGTTGGCTTGAGCAGCCTGCTGAGTTCGGGCCATGCTGCCAGAGTGGCCATCCCAGGTCACCTAGTGAAAGGAAATGGGGCAAGATGAAAGCAGACACATTAAGACCAATCATAACAAGCCTACTGGGGAAGAGCCTCCATTCTTTCTCATTCATAGCAATACTGAATGTAGTCAACCGAGCTCTTGCTGTACCTTTTCTTCTGGCTTCTGGATTTCCTCTTCCCCAATCTTCTTGCCAATAGCAGTCTCTTCCACACCAAAGATATCAGTACGGCGCTCGGCCAACTGTTTCAAGCTGCTTTCAATATCCAAACCTAGACAGGGAGGAACAAAACTGATGATGTTTTATTTTACAAAACACAGCACCATCTGAATGCTCTAAGCTATCAGTTGCGACTGCTCTGCAATAACCAGAACAAAATGAACCTACTGAAAAAGTTTTGAGAGGTACCTTTTTATCTCCTCTATCTGCCACTTTAAAGGTTCAGTATAACTCTAACGTGGGGCAGATTTTATCTTAGTACTCTCTTACACCCACTTCTTCCATAGAGCTCAAAGCAGTTTACATATGGCCCCCAAATGATCTCTCATCCAGCCAGCTCACAGGGACAGATCTAGTGATCTTTAGCAGTCAGGTGCCATGCACCTTCAGAACATTTTCTGGGTTATCATGAAGTATTGTGTCGTCTCTGCAATTCAACTTAACATCTGCTCTAAAACTACTCTTTGAGAATAGCTGAACCCTTAAGTGCCAATTGATAACTTTCCCTTTTAAATTCAGAGTTAATCTAGTGTAATTATTTACCTTGTAATGCACACTTTTACAGCTACTTAAGGACACAAAACATGGAAGCATTTTTAAAGGACCTGACTATCCTGCCCTCTTTTAAGCTTGTAGGAAGTAGTTAACTGGTTAAAAGTCGGAAGAAGAACAAAGCATTTCTACAAGGACAGCCAGGAGCTGTGCATGACTGACCTGGGGCGTAGACTTCATCATCAGTCTGCTTCTCCCGGAGGGAACGATCTCTTTGCTCCAGCCAGCGAGGATCCAAAAGCCCAATTCGCATGTGTTCTTGCATTTTGCTGGCAGGAATCTTCTCCCCAGTGATGGGGGAAACCAGATACTCATCTGGGGCTGGGGTGGGTGGCAAAGGCTTGGAAGCTGTAGAGGAAAGAAAGCCACATTGTTAGAGATTACTTTAGCTACCCTTGGGATCTGACATGCAGAGACAAATCAGTCAAAAGACATCACCTTACCTTTAGGATCATAATCTTTCCTGACAATAACCTGATCTGGCGTAGGAGGAAGAGGTGGTGGCATTGGAGTTTCTGGAGGTGGTGGAACTTTCTGATTCTCATCTTCTTCATCAGAGCCCTTTATATTTCAAAATGAGAGACCGTGAAGCTTCAACACAGACCTGTGCCTAGTTTATTCATATCAACCCATAGTAGTGCTGCAACCTGTGGGCATACAATGAATCCCCACCCCCCCACCCCATTCGCTGAAAGACTGCAGCTAGAATCCCTACCGTACATTCTTGTGCTGCTGAATTACTATTCCCTACAAGTTCTTTTTGATAAAGCAACTGGAAACAGTTGCTGTAAGCATGTTTCTTGTCCCTTAACCATGGTTAACTGATTGGGCTGAGCCACTTCAAGCCATGGGTACAGCTCTGAAAGCACTGTTGAACACTGGTTGTAAATCTCATTAGTGGTTAACACTAATTATTGTTAATACCAATGCAGACATAACATCAAAACTTAACTAAGGGCATTCTCACACAAGGTGAGAACAATGTGATCTGATGGCCTCAGGATTAAGGAACAAGTGTCTATCCTAATCCAATCCAATATGGCCACAGATGCTCAGCCGGAAGGATAAAGTCAAGTTTTATTTTGGGGAGAACTCATGAATGGAACTTGCTGGATGTTCAGGCTGCTCCATGTATGGGGGAGGGGTCAGAAGACAGTTTTTCTCCAGACTGGGTCAATGATCAGGTGGTAAGGCTAAATGGGTCTCCTTCTCCTGAAGGTTTTGGGGTGCTTGATAAAAATATGGCTTGTGTATCAGTGGGACTATTTATCAGTTTGGGCTGACTCCATGAACACTGGCTGTTCCATCTCCTGGATTACGGAAGGTTATACTTTTAACAATGGGGATAACTTGCCAAGATGACTGATGCAGACCGTGACTGCAAAGTTACATTTGATGGATCCTTAAATGGGACGGGACTAGCTGATTTTCAAGCTCCTCTTCTGCCCATAGAATGTTTTACTCATTTTCCAAACCTCCATTCTCAAAATTATACTGTAGACATTGATACTCGAGTATATCACTTCAGCATAGCACTGACGATCCAGGACATTATTTACGCAGCTAAAAAACTGAAATCCTCACTGAACTCTGGGGTTGAGGAACGACATTTCAAACATATCTGCCAGCCTACTTTCAAGCCCGGCTACACTGAAATGACAGTGACCAGCTACTCACCTCATCCATATCCTGCACTTGAGTGTCCTGGTCTAATTGGGATGGAGTCTCCTCCGTCTTCTCTTGTTTCTCATCTTCATCATCCGACTCTACCTCCATCTCCACTTCCTCGCTTTCACCAAACTTCTCGTAGCGCTCCTGGATCAGAATGCGAGCTCCGAGCTCCTCGGGTGTGGTGGGAGGAGGGAAGTTCACTGTGACGGGGGGGGGGGGGAGTCAGCTTCACCACCAACTAATCGCAGAGCAATTTCTGAGACATATGCAATGCAGTTCATTACAATGAGCATTACATTACTGTAATTAAAAATTGCTTTAAGAATCCAGTGATTAATAGAAAGAGTGGAAGAGAGACAATATTCTAGGATCTCAACTATGCCTCTGTTCACAAGCAACCTTTTTCTTCTTTAATTGGATCTGTTTCCCAGATCCACTAAGATCCTGGCAGCAGCATAATTTACTTCCTAGTCCTTGAGGTAAGTGGCATTTTTTCTTCAATGCATACAACGTGTACCGACCCTTTGTGAGAACATTCAAACAATACACTTAAATGCAACAAACTATTATGTATGATTTTTTGGTTCTTGTGTATTGAATTTCTGTCATTTTGTCTGATTGGGTATCTAGTTTTTATGTACCTGATCTCAGCCATTATTTCTTGCTCTAGTATTATTTCTTAGTATTGTGTATTTCTTTAGTTGTGCTTGTAAGTTGCCTGTGGATCCTTGTAGGATGAAAAAGGAACGGTAACAGTGTTTTAATGAAGTGCTAGTTGCAAAAAATAAAAAAGAGGAGAGAGATGATTTAACCTTGTTCACTGGGCTGGAAGTCCACAGTTTCCACCACCACAAAGTCATGCCAGTCAATTTGCGCATATGCAACTCGCTCTCTTTCCTTCTCTTCCTCTTCCTTCTTCCGCTCTCGCTCCTGAAACTTGGCCCACTCCACTCTGTAGCATGCCTGCGAAGGAAGGAGAAAGGCACCAAAAATGGGAAATGGAAACCTTGATACAGTACGCAAGGCCCAGTCACCTATTCCCACTAACAGTATCACACAATTAAATTGAACTAAGTACCGGCCAATTTAGAACTTTCAGGACAACATCAGGGACATATCTGAAACACAGTGTCACATCACTAGCATGTCGTCTGCTTATAAAATCATTAGCTACGTTCTCACACCTTACCCTACATCTATGCTAAATTCTATGTTAATTAGTAGACATGCAGAATTAGTCTTCATAGCTTTATATCTACTGATCAAAACGTGTGGAAACTAATTTCATAATCAGTTCAATAATCCAAAAGGAACACACACACCCAGTCAAGAGTAACAGAATGCTATATGCAAACTTTGTCTTATAGGACACATTAACAAAACACTGAAAGCAAAATAGCACGGCAACACACAAATGAGATTTATAACCCGGTTTTCACAAATGTAAGAATCACTCCAGGTAATAAGGAGCAATTCACTAAGCCAACACCTTACTACTGAATCTGCACAGGTGGCATCTCTCAACAACAGTGCAAACTCCCTTCTTAGGACCCTCACTGAGCCAGAGAACACAATGTCAATTTACTTTGCCTTCACCTCCAGTTATGCATTGAATTAACAACCATCTTTCCCCTACTTTTTGTTTTTGGCTTCCCTGAAGCCCTCTAAATAATGCTATGGGTTGACAATGTAGTCCCGCCTTCAATCAGCTGGACATGGGGTGGTGCTGCTGATGCCCAACCTTGGGACTAAAGTTCAGGGATCCAGCATGTATGCATTACAGTCTTAAGGGAAGGGGGGAGTTGCCATAAAACCAGTAAGTCTAGAATTTCCAGTTACCCAAACTGGACCACTGTGGGCATGGAGGACCAGTGTTTTGTGAGCAGCCTGCCCATTTTCCCTTAGCTGCCCACTAGGAATCTTCTGACAGATTTTTATATCCTGCTTTGGGGCGATTCACTATGACCAGGGGTCATTTGGGGCCGGAGCGGTCCGGAGCACTGCTCCAGCAGCAACCCTAGAATGGGGGAAATGGTGGCGGCGGCAAGCCCCGCCCTCTTTGCTCTGGAGTCACCCATAGAATACAATGGATGCGGGGGCGCGACTCCAGAGAGAAGGGGTTTAAACTTTAAACCCCTTCTCTCGGGAGTCGCACCACAGCAGCACGATCTTTCTATTGTATTCTATGGTGCCATAGAATACAATGGGGGATCGTGCCGCTGCTGCGGCGCAACTCCAGAGAGAAGGGGTTTAAAATTCAAATCCCTTCTCTCTTTGCTGCCACGAGCTCCACTTTGGCCTCCTGCGCTGCTCGCAGCAGCCGCTTCCTCCTCCTCCTCCAGGGCGCGGGACTTGGGTGCTGCTTTCTGCTTTGACTTCTTTTGGTGATGTGATGAGAGCAAAGGCAACAAACGTTGCGGTACCTCAAAGGCTTGCAGAATTTTATTCCAACATAAATTTTGTCCACTGTAGAAGGCTTGGTTTATACCCCACCCTTCACTACCCAAAGGAGTCTCAGAGTGGCTTACAGTCTTCTTTCCCTTCCCCTTTATCAGATGGCATGAATGAATCCTCATTTTGCATTTGCTAATACAACAAATGATTACTTATTAGTTGCAGGAAGTACAGAGAGAAAACTAACAGTGTATAGCTCAACTCTAATTCAGAAGAAATGAAGAGACCATTCACTAGGAGAGTCACAGTGAGGTAGGTTAGATTTGAGTCTAGTAGCACCTCAGAGACCGGCAGGATTTTCAGGATATAAGCTTTCTCCAGTCAAAGCTCCCTGGCTTTGATACTGGAAAGCTTATATTCTGAAACTAGGGATGCCAGCCTCCAGCTGGGATCTAGGGATTCCCGGGAATGACAGCTCTACAGAAATTAGTTGCAATGGAGAAAAATTTGTACTTTGGAAGGTGGACTCTGGCATTTTACCCCCCTGAAGTCCCTAAACTCCATAGCCAAATCTCCAGGAGTTTCCCAGCCTGGGTCTAGCAACCCTACCTGAGGAGGAGGAGGAGGAGGAGGAGGAGAGGGAGGAGATTAGATTTATACCCTGCCCTTCACTACCCGAAGGTGTCTCAGAGCGGCTTACAAACTCCTTTCCCTTCCCCTCCCCACAACAGACACCCTGTGAGGTAGGTGGGGCTGAGAGAGCTCTTGACAGAAACTGCTCTTTTTCAAGAACAGCTCTGATAGAACTGTGGCTTGCCCAAAGTCATCCAGGCAGGTGCAAGTGGAGGAGTGGGGAATCAAACCCGGTTCTCCCAGATTAGAGTTCGCGCACTTAACCACTACACCAAACTCTTGTTGGTCTCTAAGGTGCTACTGGACTAAAATCTAACTGTTCTACTGCGGACTGACATGGCTACCCTTTAAATAGTGAGATACCAATCGTAAAGCTACAATCCTAAAAAAAAACACAACACTTTCCTGGCAGATTTTTGGGGTGGAGCCTGAGCGGTGGGTGTTGCCTTCTGACACACTTCCGGTGATGTCGGGGGTGTGGCATATGCAAATAAGTTATGCTAATGAGGTATGCTAATGAGCTCCTGCACCTCTTTTTTTTACGAAATGACCCCTGACTACGACAAACTTTGTGACACCAGCCTAGGTTACAGAACCAATTAAATGAGCCACAGCCACTGACCATGGTAGAGCTCATAGTATATTTAGACATGACTTGTCTGAAAGTTACAAATGGCAGGGTGTGCTGAAACATTTGGGAGGAAAAAACACAAAAACAAAGTTCTGCACTCATAGGAAAAAGAAGACCTGAAAGCAAGTATTATGCCTGCTACAAGTACTGCTGATCAGATTTGCTATATTTAATTCCTGTCTCAGAGCCACATTCAGTCATTACAAACTTTTGCTTCATTGTCACAGGCACTCATATAGCTCATTTGCATGCTTGCACTTTCCTCCAGTTGCACATGGACTACAATTCAAGTTATCCTCCAGTTCTGTAAGTAAAACTATCGCTTCAACACAGGAAAATGAGCTAAGACTTGCAAAACAAACAAAAAATCACAAATTATTTCTTGATTACCTGGTCCAATACTTCCTTGGGGTTTTCTGCCTCCTTCTTCAGTTTTATGATTAAGCCCTTAGGTGGGATTAAGATCTGAAACACATTTTTCAAGATGTTATTGAAGGCTAGAGTCCTGATTAGGGTTTTATTCTGTTCCTACAGCAGCAAGTCCACTGGAAAAGAATGCACAGAATCTCTGCACATCCAAGTTATTTAGCGAGTTTTTGGATTAAAGGTGTGAAATATAAATATTTTAAAGAAAGAAAAGTTGATCCTGTCTTCTTGCAATTCAAATTCTTGCTCAAGAAAAGCCAAATAGTGAACTATATAAATTAGTGATGTTAAACATATTTACCATATTTTACATAATTTATTGTGGTTTTACTAGTCACAGGTAGGAACAAAAAGCTATGCAGAGCACTAGAACTCCACCTCCAATCACTGGAGACTTTTTTTACCCACCAGTCTGCTGGAATTTTAGCAGGAATTGTACACACAGCTCCTATTCTCTTTACAGCAATATGCTAGGAAGCTTGCTTTAAACAAATTCTGACATTCTCAGGAAGGTAAAATTTGTATCAAATACCACATTCCATGTCTTTTTTACACTCCTGCAGAATGACAACAGGCATCTGAAGAAGTGAGGTCGGAACGTGAAAGTGCATGTTTGAATAAACGCTGTTATTCTTTAAGGTGAGGGAGCCAGCATGGTACACTGGTTGGGCATTTTATACTACGATCCGGGAGACTCAGGTTCAAATGCCCACTTTCCTGCGGAAGCTTGCTGGGTGACCTTGGCCAGTCACGCACTCTCCGCCTAACCTACCTCGTTGGTCTTTTGTGAGGATAAAATGGGGAATATGAGAACTATGTAAGTCACTTTGGGTCCCCACTGGAGAGAAAGGCTGGATATAAATGACGTTAATAACTAAGGTGCTACTGGACTTCTGCTGCATTTTGCTATATTAGACTAACACAGCTAGCCCTTGAGAGTATATGCAACCTTGCCTAAAACTGGCAAGTTTCTAGAAACAATGCCAGTGGTACACAGTGGAGACGGCAATTAACAAAGCTGAGGTTTATGTCTGCTGATGCGTGCTAGATCATATGAGAGAGGTACGTGCCATGATGTATTTTATTTTGTTGCCGTTCCAATTGCTTCCTTAGACGATGAGGAATGATTTCTCTCTTACAACTGAACAAGCAATCAGAATGAGAGCCCATTTTGCCCTGCATCCTTAACCAGCATTTCTTTGCAAACCCATAGATAAACAGAAGTTTAGTCTATATTTCCTACCTCATTGAAATGCACATTTGCTGCCTCCTTAAGGTAGAAAACTGTTCTCGGACTTGCTGAACTGAATGTCTTCCACAATGTGGCTGCATCCAAGAAGACCTACCTTGGTATACTGTTCCACCAGTTTGGTGAAGTAGTTGAAGAGGCTGTGCTGTGGGCGCAAGAAGTCAAACTGATAGTTCCTCTGTTCCTTCTGCATCAGCTGGGTGAGGAACTGCCTGCCATTCCGAGCGACAAACTGTGCTGTCAGCTTTACCACATCCAAATCAAAGGCAGAGATTGATGGGGGATCTGCAATGAACTCAAACTCTGGAGGGGGCTCCTTTGGAATGACAGTTTCCTGAATCACCTGGGCCTGCACCTAAGGGAGGAACACACACAAATGGATCACCACCTAGCCTGAAGGAACCAGTACTCTGCCTCAGCTAAGTGCACAGTTCACACAGCTTGAATGTAGCACTGATGACTAAGGGCTTAACTATACAGAAAAGAAAATCTTATCAGTATAACTTCATATACATGAAATATAATGAATTATGGGAAACCATTATTCTTAGTAATTTCTTAGAGGTGAGGCACCTCATCTCCTGAGGGACAGAAAAGATGGGAGGTGGGCCGCAAGAAACTTTGGGAACCTGGATTCACTGTAACAAGAGAGTGGCAAACCATTTACCTTTTGGGGAAGTTGCTGTTGAGCACTCTGCTGCTGCTGCATGACCTTTGGAATGGCTGCGGAGGGCTCCTGAGCCTTCCCTTCCTTGAACTCATTGACTTTGTGCCGGTAGTAGGCATGGTAAGGATCATTGGGGTTTAAGAAATTGAACTTGGGGTTATTTATCTCATTCTGACGGATCCGGGCTTCAAACTCAGGTCCATTTCTGGAAAATTAAAAAGCAAGAGTCACTGCCAAAAATCCATTAAGACTGCCACACAAAGACTGCCAAAACAACATGGCCCGTTTACACCATTATTTCCTTCTTATATAAAACAAGTAAATAATCCATGAACAGGACTTCTCAAAGACCACCTACTTCTTGTCCAATTTCTCAGCTGACCTCCATGTACAGTCAGATCAGATCAGGTGACAGGACAGTGATATCCCAGCTTTAGAACTTTATATCTGAAGAGGCTTACCTAGCTTTTTGCCTTGCAAAATTTATATAAAGTTACGTCTGTTCTTTTCTCTAAAAGCTGTAAGGAGCAGATAATTGTTTTTGCTCCAGGATGCTTTTTTCAAGCCTCCTGTCTTTCATTCGTTAGCTGTGTGTAGCTGCTGTGTTTTTATGCTGTCAGGTTTTTATTATTTTCCCCCCTTTCTCTTTAAAATTTCTGAGCTGCCTCATGGGCAACCTTTTCTTTGAAAATGCAGTGTATAAATGCAATAAATAAATAAATAAATATCTGTCCCACTGAGCCTGCTGAAGCTCCCAGACTCCATCTCCTGCCTATCTTTGCAAACACTGATCTTACATGAACCCAGACTATGGTGACTCACCTGGCCACGAAACTAGCTGTCTTGTCCACAATATTTCTAACTTCTGGTGGTGGGTAAATAATTCCCACAACGGGTTTGGCTGGTGTTGCTTCTTCTTTTGGCTCATCCTCAGGCTGCAATAAGAAAATCAATTGAAAAATGTGTGATATTTCCCACAGTCCTCAGTCTACGCAGTATCAAACTACAAAGGTATTTTTCTGCTGAAAACATATATTCACAGCTGTCATTCACCCATTATATGTGGGACCCAGAGGTATTCTTTCAACACAGAGAATTCTTCCTGTGGGAACATTCTGCTAAGCATTCAAATTGAGACATAGTGCAGGGGAGATTTTTTTCACCCATAGGTAGTGCATCCCCTGTTATTCAGAACACCACTTGGAAATGATTATATGACTATCCTTCATGGAATTTTATAATTCGTTAGAGGCCTGGCCCATAAGCTCCCTAGATAGAAAATCGCCCTGGAATCAGATGTACTTAGCTCTGAGCTCCCAAAAATGAAAAGTGCCGCATCAAGTCAAACAAGACTTGTTACAAGCAAGGTTACACCCCTCTTAAGTCTACTGAGGTCAAAGGGCTTACAAGGTCTAACAAAGACAGCACAGTAAATCTGTTTTGTGAAGATGCACGTGCAGACAACACCTGCAAAAGGTTGCTTCATGATATAAAACTTAGGCATGAAAGGTTCCTTCATGCACAAAAAGTGCAGCATAATGGTAGTGATTGAGCCACAAACTAGGAAGTACTTGGCTCAAATTTCTTTCATTTATTTTAAAAGGTTCCCAGTGTGGCTAATTGCAATATTACACAACAAATACAAACAATAAATACTTAGAAAATCACTGTCAAGTCTACAGAGCTTTAAAACCAGCACACTTTACAAAAACCTGAGATAGATTAAAAACACTTTTAATAGAAAGACACAGCAAGATATGTTTTACACAGCAGCAACATTAGCTATACCTGTCACTGAAGGACTTAGGGCTTTAAAATTTAGAAAAAGGACGACTAAGGGGGAACATAGTGGAGGTTTATGAAATTATGCAAGGGGTAGAGAGAGTGGACTGGATAGCCCAGGCTAGCCTGATCTCATCAGATCTTAGAAGCTAAGCAGCGTCAGCCCTGACTAGCATTTGGACGGGAGACCCCCAAGGAATACCAGAGTCATAACAGGGAGGCAGGGAATGGCAAACCAAGGCCAAATCGACCGCCCACTTGAGCAATGCCCTCTCTAAGCTATAGTCTTTGTGAGCAAAAACTCTACTTTGTGAACTACTACTGGCATTAAAGTTGTGAGCGAGTGATTTGGCTACTGCATAAATTAGTTTGCTCTGGAGCCTTCCTTCCTGAGCCAAGACAAAAATGTGTGAGCTGGAGGCTAAAAAGCATTGAGCTAGCTCACACTAACTCAGCTTAGAGGGAACACTGGAGGTATACCAGATCTGTCTCCTTCGGTCTAATACAGAGATTAAAGATGGAATGTGCGGCGAGTGGCAGTTATAGCAACGGGCCCTATCGCCCGTTCACTGAATAGCGATTTCTAGATTCTCGACGACCTCCCACTCAGTAAGCGAACTAAACAAGCTACACAGACATGGGCATCATAGACTACAACTCCCAGGATGCCGCCTTCTTCCCGCAAAGCATGATGATATCCAAGCTCCCCGCCCTTTTTATTAGGCCCGCACGTCAAACCTGGGGAAGAAGCGAAGGGGGAGCTTTCTCTCAAGATAATCATACCTGTTTCGCTTCAGGTGGTGCTGGCTGAGCAGGCGCCATCGCCTGCACAGGCCCAGCCGGCATGGTGCCGCCTCAGTCCGACGCAAGGAACGCGGCAAAAAACAAAACACCCAACTCCGTAAGAAAACGACAAAATGTCGACGGCTCTCACAATTCGTACAAGTGCGTAACAGACGTGTTAGCGCATGCGCGCTCCTCCTACTGGGAACGTTTCCCGGCCGAGTAACTATGTGAGAAAAGAAATGAGCATGCGCGAACTCCCGGGTACGTACGCAAACCCACTCTCTCCCACCGCCCCGGAAAGACTTCTGAAAGTGAACGGTCTTTTTGCCGGAAGACGGTTCCTTCTATTGACAAAAATGAAAAGGGCTAGAAGCTATAGAGGCACTTCCGGCTACGAATTGAACGTACTTAGGGGGCATGGAATGCAACGGGAAGGTAGTGCAGGCCATTCAAACATGGGGAGACCTATCTCCCATTCTTTATATAGTTGTTTAAAATAAAACAAAACCCTTCAGTGGTACAAAATCTGAGCTTCCCGGAAAACTTGAAAGACGCCGTTGACCGTGATTGCAGTTAGAATATTTGCGTTAACATAAAAAGATATAAGCCTTTCCTGTATAGATGCAAAACCATTATATTAATATCCATTAGTAGCTCTAAGGCGAATAATCCTTTAAAAATGCCAATAAAGCTGCGACGACGTGTGTACTGTTCTAGCCTTTTTTCTGGTATCGTACTTGATAAAAGTTCTTCTGCCCCGCATATGGCCGGAGGGTTCAAATGGAAGCCGGACATCTAGAGAGTTTTTAAAAATCTATCGCTAAGGGTGTGTTTGTGTGGAACGTATCAGGTACAGCCAGGGGCGGAGTCTCGGAGGGCGTTCGTGGTTGCCATGGTGACGAGCCTCTGGGATCCCGGAAGACTGTTCAGCAAGTGCAGGTGAGTCTTTCCGTAGCTGGCATAGAGGAAAATGTTCTCTCCTTGATCAGGCCGGGAAGTCCCTGCCTGTTTTTATCAGGCACAGCCTGTCTCTTTATATCCAAAGCATAAAACAGCAGTCAGTATAGGCTGCTCAAGATGCTAGTCCTCAGCAGGGTGGTTTTTATGTAAACCTCTGAATACTAGTCCTAAGAAGGCAACATCAGGGGAGGTCTTGGTCTCTGTTTGTTGGCTCTCCATTGTAACTGAGAGCCAGTTTGGTGTAGTGGTTAAGAGCGTGTACTCTATACTGAGAGAACCAGGTTTGATTCCCCACTCCTCCACATGCAGCTGCTGGTGTGACCTTGGGTCAGTTATAAGTACTCTCAGAGCTGTTCTCTCAAGAGCAGTTCTTGAAAGAGCTCTCTCAGCCCCAGTTACCTCACAAGATGCCTGTTGGGGGGAGGGGAAGGGAAAGGAGGTTGTATTCTTCTTCTTCTAACTGGTTGGCCACTGTGAAACAGGCTGCCAGACAACAATCTGCCAGCTCCATTTAAGATGAGCAACTGTGGGGAGGGTGGAGGCACAATCTGCAGGAGGGAATTAGTACAGCTATTTAGTTACAGTTAATAGTGCTAGTACAGCTGGCCAGATGTGTGTTGATTGCCACTTATGTCTCTCTTGTTCCAGGCACATCTGTTCTACTATTGAGGTGCTCTGGAATGACATCAGGGTGGCAATATGGCAACTTTGCTGGGAAACCAAAACTATATGGAAAGCCTGCGGAAGGATATCACTGATCTGCAAGGAACACTCATCAGTGTTTTCTCCCGAGCTGGGGCTGTGCGCTATCCTTCCTGGAAGTTTCCTGACAAGGTGTCCTGTGACCTGGACCTGGTGTCTTTACTGGACCAATACGACTATGTCGAGAATGATCCAGAATTTACTCAGCACTCCCATGTGGTTCTTCTGGAGCTAGTGATTGACAGGTGAGGACATGCCCAGCGGTGGATGTCATCATAAACCATGGTATTGGAATACAAATCTCTAGGAATTTTGCAAGCTGCAGTTGGTAACCTTGTGGCTGGCTGGCCACAGAGATGACAGTCTAGAGAAGGTGTCCTCCCTGCTGGGAGACAAAGGGGAGGCAAGAAGCATACAAAGGTGGGGTTGTGCACAGGCTGGTATTTGTTATTGACATCTGACAAGCTGAATTTGTTCAACCAGAATTTGTGGTACAAACCACAGTTTCAGCAAGCCCACCCAAGGATTCAAGAATCCATTCTAATTCCCCATCATCTTCTGGGTCTCTTTAAATCTATAAAGCTTTCAGCTTCCCAAGCTCTGTCTCCTTTGGGGACCACATCATCCTGAGACCAGGGATGACCCATTGACAGCTTGTTAGCATGGTGGCTAACAGTGCAGCTCGAAGAATTACTCCAGTCTAAGCCCACTGAAATCTTGATAGGAGCAATTCTGTTGGATTGCACTGTAACAGACTTTGTTACAAATCAGGAAGTCTCCATTAACCCTTGGGGGAGGGTCAGGTTAACAGCTCCCTCTCTACCCCCTTCCAATAGAATTGCTTAGTAACACTAAAAAACACTGGTGTGCCTGGCTCCTCTGAACAATTTTATATGGTCTCTACCCAATTTTAATGAAGATCTGGTCATTTTAAAAAGTCCCTAGAGGTCTGATAAAATTACACCTGAGCTGGATCCTCTGACTGGTCATCACTGGCCCAAGGAATTATAGTTGCCATGGTGAAAAAAAAGACTACTGCTGCTGTTGCCACCATCACCATCTTTAAGTAAGACTGCTCCTTTGGCCATCTCTTTTCCTAACAGGCAATCCTCCCTACTGGACTGCTCCTGGTTGGGGAAAAATCACAGCCACATTGTGTTGTACACTAGGTGTGGTGTGAGCAGACAGGCAGTGGTGTGAGTGGTGTGCAAGAAACAAGAGCCCAATTGCATGGCTGGCTAAGCTGGCCCAGGATTCCTAGGCTTGGCCACCGTATTGTGCAGATTTGCACTCTACAATACTGGATTACCTTTCTGCCCTCTGAAGGCTGCTGTTGCTGCTTCAGAGCTTTGCAGCATACACCGAGAACGTGATCAGCGAACAAGCCGTGCCTCCACCCAGAGTGACAGGACCCTGCATGTCTATCGGGCTGGCTGTGAGGAAGTACTGGAACGGCATGCTGAAACTGGGGACCCTCTATCAGCAGCTCGTGGCTGAGGTGGGTTGTCTGGGAGGGCTCATCCTCATCTTCTGTTTGTGTGCAGCCTGATAATTGTGGCTTTACCGGCCTGCAGTTTTCCTTTCTACTTGCAAGCAGTAGAAAAGATCAGGAAGTTTCTCATGCAAATCCCAGGATAAAAAGCATTTAAGTTTTAATAAGGATTATTTAATAATTACACACTATTTTCTTAATGTGAGTGGTTTTTAACTTTGCGTTCTTGAGATTGTGGAATAGCAGGATAAAAACATTTAAAATGAATAAATAAGGGAGATTAAGACAATGAAGAGCTGGGTTGGACCTACAGACACAACACAGGCCTCTATTTGACTCCAGAGGCCTCTAACACATGGGCATTGGGCTGGGGGTGGGGCAGGCTTGCAGGCAAGCCTCATCCCAGTACCATTTAGGTAAACTAGGAAAGCGATCTCTTCCTTTTTCTCTCCTGCCTAGAAAAAACATAGCGAAGAAGATATCTCCAGTTTGAAGTCTTCCCTGCAGGTGGCAAGAGCCGAGAGTGGCCGTTTTAAAAGCACTCCATCACCCCTTTCGGAGTCAGAGGTGACTTTGCCCAGTGTCAGGTCTTCTCCATTGGCCATGTCAGCGAGCAGTGGGCTCCTGGACAGTGCTATCAGAGCCTCCTCTGAGGCACAGATAAGCCAGGGGGTTGCTAGGCATGTCCGGAGCATCCATTCTCAAACCATCGAGTCGTCCCTGGTACCATGTGATGCATGCGAGAGGGCCCAGGTCAGCCTCAGGGAAGTGGGTAACGCCATCATCCACATCTGCAGCAGCCAGAACCTCCCCTCATCTCTGAGACGATTTCTTCAGATGGTCGAGGATACCCTCGGTCAGAAACCCCTTACAGCCGTGGACATGAGCTACTGGGCATCTGAGCAAAGCAAAGACCTCTCCCGGATCAACAAACATCTCCAGACACTGATGGAGCTCATTAATCCTTTGAAGGAAGAGCTGGATTCATCTGAGAAACAGAAGGAGGAGTTGAAGAAGCAGCTGGAGACCTGCCAGAGCTGCCTGGAGAAGGAGAAAGAAGCCCAGGAGCAGCAAAGGAAGGAGGCCGAGCTGCTGTCTGAAAAGAAGAATGCAGAAAGTCTGCAGCTTGTGGCCACACTTGAGAGGGACAAAGAGGACCTCCAGAAAAGTGAATATCCTTTCCTGTTTCTTTCTGTAGACCCGTGGTCTACTTGTGTGTGCGTGTATATATATATATATATATATTCCGAATGAGCTCCCCAAAAAACAAGCATCATCCTTGCAACTGCAGAAGAGGGCAGACTGAGGCTAGTTCTAAAGAACCAGTAGAAGAAATAGAATAGCCTGGTTTGTATGACCTCCTGGCAATCTCCTCTGCCCAGCCAGGTAGGGCTTGGGAATGGGGCCATGTGTTTTCAGCCACGGGTATGCTTCTGCGATTCTCCTGTACCCATCAGCAGCTGCACAGCTGTATCGGGGAACCATGGTACATCCTTACACTCTCCCTTCCTTGGGATAATGTCACTAAAAATATATTGGCAGGAGTGAGGCGGGGATCAGTCTGGCACAGGGCCTCCTCATGCCAAGGGGCATGGAGGGATGGGTAAGTCCAGCATGGTGACTGATTTTTTCAAGGTGTATTTCAGCTTCTCCTGTGGCATGCCACTATGCCCCAGAACTATTTTGAGAATAGCTAGCCAGAGTGGACAATCCTGACCTTGACAGACCAACAGTCTGGCTCAGGCCTTGTACTAACACAGCTTCACGGAATGGGCCTCTATGGAAAGCACAGAGAGAATCAAGGTTGTACACAGATTTGTATGCTGGGGAGAGGTGGTCCTTCATGGCATTTTTGTTTTCTGTGTTGCAAGTGGGGGATTCCACATATCCACACTACACATTTTAAGTCGGTTTTGTGATTCTTTCTTCCTGGAGATACTGGAAATCGTCGTTCTGGGGGGAGGTAGAGTTGAGCCCCCTCCTCAAACTACAACTTCCACCATCTTTGAGGGAAGCCTTTGGAATGGTAGAAAACCCCATGTCTGTAGCATAACTATTCTGGTTTTCTTCTCTGCCCACTCATTTGCAACTTCCCTCACTGTTCACAGCCTGCAACTTGGGAGTGTCCCGCCCTTTTCTATTGTGCTATTAGCTACCTGAAGAATATGGGATGCTTTGGTGTCAATCTTTTTTTGTAGGACGGGTTTTCTTGGAGGAACGGATCTCCACCTTGAAAGAGGAGCTTCAGCAACAGCGAGCTACTTTCCAAGAGCTGGGTAGGATTAGAGGCCATCCTTTTGGCATTTCCATTGGTCACCCCACCCACCCACCCCTGCTGCCCTCACTCTCCCATTCATTTTATATTTGCATAGAGCCCTGGTCACCAGCTGCCTTTCCAAGAGGGCAGCTGAAAAGGGAGTAGAGAGTAGTGGCCCACACTTTGACTCCCGAAAAATTCCTACTCAGCCACAGATGCCCTATTGTTGTGGTTATTCAGACACTTTTAAAAATATGTATATCCAATTATATCCGTTACCCGAAGCACCTGACATCCACTGCCTGCAGTTCAAAAACCAGGTGTACTTACAGTCTGTTGACATTAGTGGGCCTAAGGGTATTTGGGAACAAGGCCCATTGAACTCGGCCCTTATGTATGTGCTCAAATCCGACTTATGGTGACCCCAGCAAGGGGCTTTCAAGGCAAGAGAGCAACAGAGGTGGTTTGCCATTGCCTTTCTCTGCAGAGCCTTCCTTGGTGGTCTCCCATCCAAGTACTGACCCTGCTTAGCTTCCAAAATCTGATAATATTGGGCTAGACCATGCCATACCATGCCACCTTCCATAGCCCTTGCTTCCTAGTAAACACAGGATCAGGCTGTGCCTCTCAGCTGGATTGTGATCACCACCTTTTGCAATTCAGCTCTGAGCCTGGCTTTACTGAATCCTGCTCCCATCCCACCCACCCACCCCCCAAAATGGGGGTCATCCGGCCTTCACTCCTGAGCTGTCGTGCATTCACAGAGTGGACCAAAAACAATCTGCTGCAGGAGATGCAAGTGAAGATGGCTGGCATGGTGGACAAGAGCCAAGTGACCAGTCTGGAGGCCCAGCTGGCGGCCCTGTCTAGCCAACTGGACAGCATGAAGCAGCAACTGAACTGGACCACCACTGAGCTGGACAAGCAGAAGGCCACAGTGGAGAGCATGCTCCGTCACAAAGAGGTGAAGCCAGTGCAGAGACCAGCCTTTGGCTCAGCCGCTCTCTGGGTTCCCTGGTGTCTTTATATGTCATGCTTCTCTCTGGCCAAGGAGATCTAAGCAGTTTACACGTGGTTCCCTGTTCATTCTCTTGGCCAGAGTTGCTTAGCATAAACTGAACTGTCCTGTTGTGTCTTCAGACCTGCTTGCTCTTTGGAGTCCCTCCCAACATATTTTCCTCTGGGCATTTTTCTGTAATGCGAAATTTCTCTTCATTCGTGTATCCTACTGTTTGCCTAACACCAAAGAAACACAATGTATTGTATGTTCATTTTTGCCCTAAAGGTTGTATTGTATATCCCTCCTTCCAACACTACAAACACTTCCTTGCCAACCAAAAATTATGCCCGTATTGTACAAACTCAGGCCACAGAAGCAGTAGAGGAGGTAGATGGTCAACCTGTGTCTTGGGTTGCAGGTGCTGTGTTCATATGTGTTCTCCATATAAAACAATACCGTGCTCATAAAAAACCTGCACATCAATCTGGAAGAAGAGCTCT